AATCAGGGGTTAGTCTTTTCACAGGAAAAAACACCAAATCATAAAATAGTGATGCCTTTGAGTTTGTGACTGGGAAATCTTATGAAGTTCACTTTAGTGTGCAATCGACGGCACGACATGTGTATTAGTGGAGAGCAAAGAGCGTTCAATGGATGCAATACTTTTTCGAGAGCAGTGGGGCTCAACACTACGTGTACCATCAGAGGTCTTTGCAGGGGCCTCCGGTGCACTCGGAGAGCATTCAGATATGAAACCAGCCATTTGCTCATTCGCAGATTTGCCCCAGTATCCGTCCAATGTGGCGATGGCACCCTTCAATGATTTGTCATCCAAATTCATCCGGTCAAAGAGTAGTCTGCCTTTGCTGTCGACTACAACAATATGTATGATAATAGGTTGTATGTACGACTGGACAAAATTGTAGATTGATTTGTATGGGCATAACCATGTAAAAATTAAAAACTAGCTTGTTCTTTCTATATGTATATGTCAATAAAGTCGCATGCAATATACTGTTTAATGCATTTGTTGAATGCAAAAGACCGAAAATGGAGTGAATAATTTCCCCACATTGATTCTATCCCAGATATCAAAAATTCACCTCTTCCTAAAATCAAAATTATGCATAATCTCATCATCGTAATTTAACCACTCAATCCGTTTCTGGTGCAATTGAGACAGACAAGATATGCACATTTCATGTTTGACTACTCGAAAAATAGCAGTAGACCATATGAAAATACAGCTTTTTCCGGTGGAAAGCTTCAACCCACCTGAAACCGTTTCGAATGCAATTCGTATGCCTCATCAAGTAAGCTGACGATTTGTTGAGTTGGTGCACCTTGTTTTCTGGCTAAAATCGCTGATAGGAAGCTCAATTCCTAAAACGATAATTGAATAACAACTTTTATTAACATCAATAATGAAGTCTAAAAATTAAGCATAAAAAATGTTTTGCTTTTCAAAAATCAATTATTGGTTATCAACGGGTAAAATCGCCATTTTCGCTCAATCCTATGCTTTCAAATA